ATAAGACTCACTGGAGTATAAGATTCACCAAGATTTTGAAGAGGCAATTTTTTTAAAAAAGGTTTTGCACTCTGAAGACCTCCCAAAAGCAGCCTGTTTTTCATGAAAATGGGTCTGGGTTTTTTTTTTTTTTTTCAAAAAAAGAGGGCACGAATTGCCTTTAGGAGGCTTGTAGAGTGCTCCTGGGGATGGACCCCCCCCCCCAAAGAAATGAGCAAAAAAAGAGGCATGCATAGCCTTTAGGAGGCTTATAGAGTTCTCCTGGGGCTGGGGGCAAAAAATGGCCCATTTTTCACTCATTTCTGCCCTCCTCAGCCCCTAGGAGCACTCTGCAAGGCTCCTAAAGACTATGCACGGCCATTTTGGTGAAGGGGGTGAGGTTTCAGGAGGCAGAAAATGCTGTATTCAGTGTATAAGACGCACCCAGATTTTCAGCCTCTTTTTTGAGGGAAAAAGGTGCAACTTATACTCTGAAAAATATGGTATATGCCATTCTATAGTGTTTTACTGCACTCTCTGAGCAGTTTACAATATAAGCATTATTTGCATATTGCCCCAATAATCTGGGTCCTCATTTTACCAACCTCCGAAGAATGGAAGGCTGAGTCGATCAGGATCGAACTCCTGGCTGTGGGCAGAGTTAGCCTTCGATACAGCATTCAAACCACTGTGCCCTTACAGCTCATAAAACCAAGTGGTGTACATGATCTCTATCATCATATGTTTGCTCTATGAAAATCTCTGTGTCTCTCAAATGGACCTAAGTCATGTGGAAGCTCAATAACTATCCATTGGTTTGTATTTTGCCTGAAGAGAACTTGGGAGTCAACACTACCTGTACAATACTTGATTTATGACCACAAGTGAGCCATTGCTAAGCAAGACAGTTGTTAAATGAGTTTTGTCTCATTTACCACCTTTCTTGCGATAGTTGCTAAGTGAATCATTGCAACTATTAATAACATGGTTGTTAAATGAGTCTGGGTTCCCCATTGACTTTGCTTGTCAGACAGTCAGAAAAAGGGATCCCATAACATAACCCCATCAGAAATATATGCCAGTTTCCAAGCTCACTTTCAAATGTGGCTTGCCTTCTGGAATATAGGACGCCTGGACTTCAGCCATATATTTACTATCTTCTTGGCACAGTATAGAAATATTTTCCCATTGCTTTTTGAATATGTTTTCAGATTTTTCCATCTAGCCTACAACTTAGATCGGGTATCGGTAACCTGCAGATTCAGAGCTGCATGCAGATCTGTGGGACCTCTGCTGTGGTTCCCTGTCAGGTGATCCCATCAGTGGCAGCCCCCTTTTCACTCTCCCCCTCCAGTCACTTCTTGCCTGGCCTGAGAATGTAAGGGCAATGGCATGGAGAAGCAACTGAGGCTGATTCTCCAGTGCCTCACTCTTGCTGGAGCTTTTCTGAGCCCTTGTTGGTGCTGGGCGTGCCTCAGTTGCTTGGGGAGACCTGGAACCTGTTCTCTGCCCCAAGACACTGGCCCAACCTGATGATGACCTATGCCAGCCTTGCTAACATGAGGGCTGATAGGGTGGGAATAGGATCTGGGAGGAAGGGATGATGGAAAGGGTCTCCCATACATCCCTGGTTAGCTTCCAAAGTGGGACGACTTAGGTCAAACTAGATGTTTAGACAAATGAATATAATTCGGGATCCTCAATTTGTTTGAAAAGTAGTTGAAAAGCTCCATTAAATTCAAGACTGACGAGAATACTAGGCCTCTCTTTTTTCTTTTGATCTAAATCGTATCTTTCTATTCCTATTATTATCACTTGTACAGATATGAACCCATAGTGTTGGCCTTGTTGGCTTAAATGTCTGTTTGGACCCATGAACACACAACTCCTAATCCTAAATAAGAAGGTGAAAGGTTGTTAAGTGAACAATCAAATGCTTCTTCTCTTTTTTTCATCAATGTTTTTAGCATTAATGTGGGCAAGGACTAAGATGGATAAGAAAGAGAACATGTGTTTGCATGCAACACTGAATTTATTTTAAAATTAAAGATAATTCAACATTCTATGGTGTATTTATAGGAAGAAATAATTTTTATCAATAGACCATTATATAAAGTTTACTTTATGCTAGACTTTTAATCCCAAATGCATGATCAAAATCAAATATCTATAAAATATTTTCAACATTAACAGAACTTAATCATCTTTCAGAACAATATATTTGCAGAACAATCATATCATATCTGCAATGTATGTAGCATACTCACAACAAATGTGTCTTCTACTCTGGCGATCCCTTTCCCAAATATGGTCCCTAGTTGATCTCCAACTCCGGCCAACAGAAAACCAAAGAGTGGGATTCCCAGTAAGGCATAGATGATACAGAATATTTTTCCACCTTCTGTACGTGGTGAGATGTTCCCAAATCCTAAATTACAAACAACTTGAGCTGTTGATAAATCAGTTAAAGGCATTAAATTACACATTTAATTAGCACTGCAGATAAGGAAACTTTTAAAATGTTCCTTAGGAATACAGATCCCATTAATTAAAAGATTAATACAGAGATTCTATACTAATTGGGTTGCTAAATTCATCTCAAATTGAACTGCATTGAGAATTCTTCAAAAAAATCAATCAAATAATGGAAAGACTCTCTTCAAAATGCAATCTCTATAGAGATTTATTCAGAAATATATTTAATTCATTTCAAAGATAAAATTTTCTTATAAGTAATTTTCAGTATTATACTAAGTTCTCAGAGAGAGTTATTAAATAATGTGCAGCTACTGTATGAAAGGTTCTGGTACCACTAGCACACTATTTTAAATCCTCTTTTTCCACTGTCCACTTATAGTCACTGACTATAAAACTTACAACTTTAATTGTACATACCAATAGCACTTAGACTTATATACTGGCCCATCGGGCCTCACAGCACTCTCTAAGTGATTTACAGAGTCAGCATAATGCTCCCAACAATCTGGCCTCAGAAGGATGGAAGGCTGAGTTAACCTTGAGGCAGTGAGGATCGAAACCTCTGGCAGTCAAAAGAATTAGCCTAACCACTGTGCGACCATGGCTCTTCATGTAGACTGGGTGATTCAATCTTATATTCTATTTTCCTTCCCAAAATTGTTGTACAAATGATTGCATATAAATGTTATGACTTAAGATGCAAGCAAGATGTCAAGGTCAATAATGTAACTTTTCATATATTCTTGGTATCCTACAAGGTTCCTACTCTACCTAACTCATAAAGCATTTTAATTTTAAAAAGAACATTAAAGTAGCATGTTGCAAAGGCCTGTCTCAGACATATCCTGTATTTCCAACAATACTTCTCACCTCCAGATAGATTTCAGAGGCATATTTAGAAAGTAAATTATTGGAACTTACATCCAATGGTTTGTATGCCTTCTGGGTCTAGGTCTTTTATCTGGCAACTATTTTGTGAGAGTGCTCACAATATATCTTCAAACTCCAAACATCCCCAAGTCCCCTAAACTTTAGGCAATCACAGAGCTTTTGGAACAAAATTATCATATATTATTTTAGTATTATGCTTACTTTTATATCGTCATTATCTTTTTAAATCAGGAATAGAAATAAACTATAATCCATTTCTTTTAGTTTAGCTTCGGCTGCTATATTGATCAAATCAATTAAATTGCCTTCATTATATCATCATATAGAGGTTGTTATCTGGCACTGTTATTTTGCTTTCTCTAATTTGGTAAATGCTTTCTTTAATTTTGCAAACATGGTTTTGTGATTTGAACTTCTGTGAGTACCTATCCAGCATTTTCTGACTAAGCAGTTAGCCCTACTCAGTCAGCAAATGCTGGATAGGTGCTAAATGAAGTTCAATCCCATTTTTTTGCTACACAGTATATACAGTCTGCTTAATTTGGTGCGCTCTATCTCATAAAGTTTGAAATTCTTTTAAATTGTTAGAAAATGGAATCTATTGTAAAAAATTGGATATTTTTTTTTGTAGAAGTGTATTAGTTTGTCTCCTGGTTCAACTCATAAACCAAGTCCAATTTTTTCCATTATTGTAAATGCTATTTTATTACCATACTTGGCCTTCAAAGTCCTATAATTGATACGATGTTTTTCTTGTTTTTATGATGATACAGTGCTACAACTTTCCATGAAACTGTTCAACTTCCACCTCCCCTTTATCTGAGATTGAAGCATAAACCAATTTGTAGACTGGCATCACATGAGCTTGAATTTTTCTATCATTTTTAGTTGAATCCAAGCACCAAGTTTATTTCTTTAATTAACAATGATGATTTCCATTTCTTTTATAATGTTCTTGTCCACAATATATCTCATGCTTCTTCAATGTGAAGCAACCATTTCATTCTATTCTGACTGTTTCTGTTCTCACAGCATCAGGTTTATCTTGGTTCACGATTCTGATATTCCTTATGCCAACTTCATGTATATTTTGACAACACTGAACCTTCCTTTTGCCTCTGGCCAAAGTAGTTCACTCAAGACCTTCTGATCGTGGGAGCATATTTTCTAATATCATGCAGACATTGCCCTGGTTCAGTTTTCTTGGCAGAATACTGAAGTGGACTTTTATTTTTTCTTATTTAGTGGATCCTATTTAGTCTGGCTCCTTCTCTATTATCTGCTAGGATGGGTGGCTCTGCTGGAAATGCATCTTCCTAACAAAATAGCTGATAGCATAACTGGGATGCCCAATCTCCTTGACTACCACAAAGTAACAATCTATGAAGGAGTGCCTATTTGCGTCTGAATATAGCCATTGTCTTATCTATGATACAGGGCTTTAAATGGGATATTGGGATCATTGCCCTCTGGTTTCATTAATAAATAAGCTAAAAACAGCAATAGGAAAATGATTAGAATAACAATATGATGCAACATTAAAATAAACTAAAGGTTGGAAGTGGGACCAGTTACCTTGAGAGGTGATGGATTTTCCTTCAGGCTTGTCAGCCACTTGTCTGAGATTTTATTTGCTTGTTTGTTAATTTTTTATTCTGCTCATCTCCCCTACAAGTTACTCTGAGCAATTTACAAGTTATAAAACAGGTAAAATAATTAAAATATTGAAAAGTAAAAACTGAGAGGAGGAGCCAATGTTGCGACGATACGGACTTGCGGTCTCAATGCTCCAAGACCGCAGCCTATACTTTTGCTGCTGGGTGGTCCAATTGGACCTAACCATCCTGAACAGATGGTGAACAGGAAGAATATATCTTGCTGACCTCAGGGACATCGCAAAGTCCCTGATCGATGCAAGAGAAGTTCTTCAAGCCGGTGACAAAAAATCCAGCCAAGGCTGACAAAGTCGGGGCGGCTCCAAAATGGAAGGATATGGAAAGAGAAAATGTTTCCAGCTGGTGAGGAACTTTTACTGTTTTAAAAAGAGACTGCCTATAAAAAACTTAAAATTAATTTAAATTGGAAAACAAAAGAATCAAGCAGAAAAATTAAATTTGGAATGGTTTTGGACAGTGGTTATCTTACTTTTTAAATGCTATCTTCATGGATGGAATTTATGCAAGCCTTTTAAAACAAATGAATTAAGTTTTCTTNGATGGATGGATGGATGGATGGATGGAGAGAGAGAGAGAGAGGTGGGGGGGAGAGAACAGCAGAAAAGCCTTAGAAATTCTGAAGTGTTTTTAAAAAGCCCTGACGTACTCCCAATTAATTTTTTTTTCCAAATGTAAGACTGCTTTGATGGTAATTGAATTATGTTCTCATACATTTACAGAGTTCTAAAAATATTAATTTCAGGTATGAAATAGTGTCACGTGGTCACTAGGGATAGAAAAGGACTTCTTGGTACATAGTCAAATCACTCAATTAATATGCTATAAATATGTATAGTCAAGTTTTCCATTTCCCATGTATTTGCCAATTTATATCACAAAGTTTCTGTTTTTCAGTGTGATGCCAGATTTATTATTGTTACTATCAGCATACATCCCAATAAATCATGGTGTTTCTTCATTTATATTGTCTGGGATCATACCCAATAAAATATTTGGGTTCTTAATTTTTATTTTAGAATTTTCTGGATGTTTTGCCATATTGCTTCCTAATATTTTTGAATCTTTTTTCATAAAGCAAAATACCCAGTTATATTAACTATAACAGAGTCATTAAGCAACTCCTGCTATGTATTTAGTCTATTTCTTGAGTCTACATGTACCATATGTGATCACATCTTTCTTATTATAAATGTCCTTGGATTAAAATCATTTGAAAAAATTCCAAATTTTTAACAGTTTTAATGTTATATGTTTTTTTCAGATTCTTCTCTTTTGTTTCATTGTATAGTACATGAAGACCATTGTCTAAGCCTGCTTCTTTTATACTTGATCTCTGGCCATTAGAAGTATATGAACTTCACATGACTCTTATAAGATTACAATCTTTTAAAAACATTAAATATGCTTATGGTAGGTCATACAAGTCTACCAGATGTTTAGCTTGGATGTGGCATTTTTATCCATTTATCGATTCTGTCCAACAGACCTGGGATAGATAGATGTTGGTGTTGGCTGGAATGTAACCCACACTAAATAAAGCTACCTTTTACAATTGACTAATGGTGACTGATGGTATTCAAATGGTGATTACACCCAAGGCACCTATTACTACTGGTACTATCTTTACTTTCTTTGGCCACAGTCATTCTATTTCTATTTGCAAGTTTTTGTATTTTCTGATTTTCTCCAGTTCTTTCTCTTTTATTCTTCTGTATCCAGATACAGCCACAACCACTATCTAGCCTTTTTTGTCACATTGACAATTGTCAATAAATTGTCTGAAGTGTTATGTGGCTGGTATTTTTGTATGTGTGAATTCTGAAAGTCCTAGAGCACTTTAGTCTCTTCATTTTCTGTTACTTTTTCTATTTTATGGTCCTATCTTGCTTGCATGGAAATGGTATTTCTCACAGATATTCCAATGCACTATTGTTGCTACTTTGTCATGCCACTGTTTATAATCAATGTTTGTGATCTTCTTGCAACAACCACATCTTTCACTGTCAAGGATACGATACAGTAAATATACTGTATTATTTTTAAAAGCTGTTTATTATTCTTTTGAATATTTCATAATTTCCCAGAAATCACAGTTGCTGAATATTAAATGAATCCTACACCCCAAACTTTTTGCAATACTGTTATTCCTCTCACTAAGGTTTTCATGTCCCGGCTAGTGTTAGATCCCACATATGTTGGATTTTATGTTCTCTTTGATAAAGTGATTTGAAAATAGAGGCACTCTGTTATTTCCTTAGCAGGAACAGATCATTCTGGTAATTCTTACATTGACAGCTGATATAATCTTTTGATAGTGTGGTCTAGTTACTTCAAAAACCTAGATAGCTTCCTGAATGTGCTTGAGGAATTTTGTACATAATTTGTCAGTGATGCTATCAGAATA